TGCAGAAAAAGCTCCATAACACACAAGGGGACGGGTAATAACCTGAAAAGCATGACATGGGACCTTTAAGTCTTTCTAATGCGTAAAAGTTAAATATTACACCTTTAATTCTCACAAAAGGGACGTTTCCTTTTAGTTAGTAATTTAATAATACATGTTTTACCTCGAAGATGTGCTCCACTGGTGGCCCCACGTCCTGCTCCACCTCGTAGTTCTTGGTCAGCTTCCAGTTGACTGGCGGGAAGAAGACCTTATCAGGCCGGGAAACGCTAAAAAGGAGAAAGTGGGGATGTGAGAAAAAAGCGTAGGAAGACACCTAATGAAAAGTTGTAATGAGGAAACACTCGACTCACCCCTGCAGAATGACGTCAGCCTGAACCTCCACCTCCAGTTTATACGGCACAACCTCACTGTGGGAGTTATTCTCGTTTTTACTGTGGAAAGAGGAAAGAAATGGAGTTCTTATTCTGCCTGCACCAGAATACACACATAAGACACAGATATTTAAAGTGTGTGTGTTGTACCTGCGGATCTGCAGCTCAAACTGAACCGTTTTGTGTGTGTCCTTCAGCCGTGGCACCGTGAAGCGCAGACCTGCCCACAGCTGCAGAGAGAAAAAACTGATTTATTAATGATCATTTTAAAACAAATTACTAACTAAAAGGAAACACCAGCTTTTCAAGTTTTTTTCGAGTTAATTTGTTGCGTGTTTAATATTAGAAATGTCTTCGATTTTTTTCCCTCCATCCCCAGGCTGCTTGATTGAGTTTTAATTTCCCTACAATAACCGTGAAACGCTTTGATAAAAAAATTACACATTTCTCTGGAATATCTGGCATAACTAACGTAACAAATATATAACATAGCGCTTTCCTTTACAACCGGACAAGATACAGTCATATAGCCCAACGTTAGCCACCTTTAGCTTAGCGGTGGTGACGTGAAGTCATGTGACCGTGCTGTAGTTCCTTTATAGCCCAACATTAGCCACCTTTAGCTTAGCGGTGTTGACGTGAAGTCATGTGACCGTGCTGTAGTTCCTTTATAGCCCAACATTAGCCACCTTTAGCTTAGCGGTGGTGACGTGAAGTCATGTGACCGTGCTGTAGTTCCTTTATAGCCCAACGTTAGCCTCCTTTAGCTTAGCGGTGGTGACGTGTAGCCCAACGTTAGCCACCTTTAGCTTAGCGGTGGTGACGTGAAGTCATGTGACCGTGCTGTAGTTCCTTTATAGCCCAACATTAGCCACCTTTAGCTTAGCGGTGGTGACGTGAAGTCATGTGACCGTGCTGTGTTGCTTTAGCTCAACATTAGCCTCCTTTAGCTTAGTGGTGGTGACTGAAGTCAGGTGACCGTGCTGTGTTGCTTTAGCTCAACATTAGCCTCCTTTAGCTTAGCGGTGGTGACGTGAAGTCATGTGACCGTGCTGTAGTTCCTTTAAAGCCTAACGTTAGCTTTTTTTACTTCTGAAGATGGCATTTATACATCAAATGTTATACAAGTGGTGTTATTTGTGTAGATTATCCTTCTTAACAAAAAAGTAAGTATCAAATCTACTGCTGCCAAATGAGCCAGTCAGGGTATTTCCCCAGAGGACAGATCCAAGTGGTACAGATGAGTAGAGAAAACCTAACAAGCCATATACTGCATTATATTCTAGACCCTGTATAAAACGTCTTTGCCTTATTAAGTACATGCCCTGGTACATGTGCTGTTTCTCCTCACCCAAAGATGGCTCCTATCCTCATGGTGTTGCTGTTGTGCAGGACGTAGTCTGACAGCAGGGCGAGGGCCGGGTCACATTCGTTCCTCACGCCGGAGTTTACGATGCCGCAGGCGAGCAGGGCACCAGACTGCAAGAGAGGACGAGAGGTTGAAGGAAAACAAGACAGAGTTTTAAAGCTGGATTTCTCATTGTTTTTCACTCTGGTACCACCTTCAACATGTTTATAATAAGCTTACATTTGAGAACCTATCAACGTCACTGCCTATGTGTTGAACTGCCTTTCTTGCACTGATGGCATGTAGATAACATCTCATCAGGAAACTGCCAAGATTTTAAAGAAGCCATACAAATATCTAAGGATCTTACCATGGGACATTTTTAATAGCTCAGTTTTAGGATATTACAGCACTAGTATATGAAAGAAATATGAACATATATGAAATGACAGAACGTTGTTTGTACCTTGATGTAGTCCTCAGAGGAGTAGAGATATTTGTCGATCTGGGTCAGACCTCCGTCCACGTCCCACAGCAGGATCATACCCAGAGAGGCTGCAGCACTCAGCATGCCTGCAGACATTTAAAACACCTTTAGTCTCTGAACCCTCTGATACAGGGGTGTCCGAACTGGGGTGTCCAAAAGGGGGGGGGGTCCAAACTTTTTTATTACATTATACTGTGTAATATATCTGAACATATATATTTAAGAAGAACAATATAAGACAAGCAGAAGTGTATTATACTCAAGTCATTATAATTTTTGAATTTGCTGAGTGGCAATTCTAATAAAATGCATTTGAATTAAACATATATGAAATCCTCATTTGTGTTGTATCTTACCGTGGTCCTTGTTCTTGTACAGCCATTTGTTTCCGTCGTCTGTGAGCAGCTTGTCCTGTCCGAAAGCGGCATTGACGAATCCGTTCACGAAGGACGAGGCCAGGTTCATCCGAGCCGAGTCCACCTGAGAGCCGCTGCCTCCAAACCCTGAGAGGAAGACAGAGGTCACACAGAACGTCAATCAATGAACAAAACAAACCACCAGACTCAGGCACCGTTTCATCCCAGAGGCCATAAGACTGCTAAACACTTGAGCTCTGTAAAGTGCTTCGATAAACATTCCTGTTGTCATTTTGCAATATAATTATTTAAATAAATAGCTATCCTCGCAAAAAAACGTATTTAATTTTGTCTTAATTTACATTTTTTTATATTCTGTTCTCGTACATATTATAATCAGTGTTGGGTGTAACACGTTACAAAAGTAACATGGTTACAGTAATGTATTGCATTACTTTTTGCTGTAACAAAGTAACGCATTATTAATGACATTTGGGTAATATTCGGTGCTCTCTAAACATGCCGATCGCATGACGTATAATACATGACACTTTTCTCTGTGCGCGGCAAAACAAGCTCTCCAAAATGGCTTCACCGATCTGGCATTATTTTAAGATGTCCGAAAAAGACAGTAAAATAGCGGTATGCAACGTGAAGCCGAAATCCTGCAGCTCCGCCCGCTGTGACGGACCGGAGAGCGGAGCGAAACACACTAAGAGTTAGACCTAACACACTAAGCTATTTGATCTACCTCTGGAACAAGCTACACTAGTTATACATATATTTATTCTTCACTGTCGGGTCACTCATTACTGGATCAATGAGCTGCATGAGACGATACTGAGGGGCTGTCAGGAGAGAGAGAGAGAGAGGGGGAGAGAGAGAGAGGTAGAGAGGGCTTCCGCTCATTTCTCCCGTGTTATTATCCAAAGTTAATGTAAACTTGAATAATGTACTTCATTTGAATGTAATAATTAAGTTGATCGTTGTTTGTGGACGCTCCAGTGAATGAGCCCCATGAACTGAGTTTTAAACATCACTCTAAATGGAAGATTTAAAAGTGATCTTCCATTTAGGCTCCGCCCACTCGATCGGATCGGCCGATACTGATTCCGGCGACCGGCCCCAAAATTGACGATCGGAGCATCCCTACTGCACATTATCCCGCTTATTACACGGCCAGATACTAAAACAAACTAACGACTCGACTCCCAATATGAATTGAAATTATTTTATTGACTTAAAAATTATCGTATTTCTTCCGCTAAGAAAAAAACGTCTGGAACTGCGACAAGAACAACAACAACAACTTTACGGCAGCACTCAGCACTGTCCAAATCTGTTCACAGTTTTTGATCCACTAACAAGTCCTTAAACTCTGCAGAGCCCACACCGTGTTCCTGTTAGTGTTTAGTTCCTCTCTGCCTTCTTCTGTTAATTTATCTGCTGCTCCGTCTTTTAATAACCTATTTTCCTTTCTCTATCTTGATCCTCCTTAGCAACGGCATGACAGCGGTCTGTAGCGTACTACTGTATTAACAACGCGTCACGTGTTCTGAATTGACCAATCAGAATCGAGTATTCAACTAAACCTTGTAATAAAAGTTGTTGGTAGCTTTAAGGACCTACACAGTTGCTGCAATAAACTACATTTTAGCATTTAAAATACCTAGCCATTATTTAAATAATACTATAACTCAAAAGTAATATCAAGTAGTGTAACTCATTACATTTCAGAGACAGTAATATTGTAATGTAATGCATTACTTAAAAAGACAGTGAAGATAGCCCAACGTTAGCCACCTT